TTTTTTAAATAACTCTCAACCAGGATGAAGCGGTTGATATCTGCCAGGGAGGATCCTTCGAACAAGCGGTGCCAAACTCAACTAGAGAACAAGCCACGTTCATCGGTCTCTATACCTTGTAGAACTCAGGTCTATCCATACAGGCCCCCTGGTTGTGGTATCCCTGACTAACGATATACATAAAGTCTACTATGCCGCCCGCTGTTTCTCGATTGAACGCCATACGAGAGACGGGCCAAGAAGACATCGTCCATAATAGGATATTCAATTGGATCCCACCGGCAGCGACCGATTTTGACTCCATGGAACGACCTCTAGCAAAGCGTTTACGCTCTGTTTCATCTGATTGGGACCGTCTACCTTCGGGCCCATCAGAGGGAACCCGAAGTAGGTCTTGAGAGACACCACATATTCAGTGTATGGAGACACCAGTTATGTGACAATCTTAGAAACAAAGAATTGTTACATGCGGGAATCCGATACTGGGCCGGCTGAAGAAGATATTGAGCTGTGCAAGCAGCTACTCTCACGGGAAATCGAACTTCCACAGGGCACAATATTTTAAAGTGAATATTTGCATCGCTTTCATGATGCCCTGCAGAATCGATCACAGATGCGTCTTCTTATTGATTTGCACCCGCTGCTTATGCCATCCGCGGAAAATCAATTTATCAGAGGCAGGCAATGTTTAAAGAATGTGATTGATGGATATTCTGACCCTTGGATAAAGACAGAGCCCATCTATGGACCGAACCCGCAACCAGATCACACCCGTGGCCTCAGATGGTCAACGTTCAATGAAGGTCAACGGCAGAAGCTTGGGATAGAGCCAAATGAGAAATCCCTATACACCGCTCGGGAGGAAATTTATTTCCCTTACCTCACAGGAGAGGCTAGGCTGGATCTGGACGCTTCTGATCGACGGAATATGCATAGTGCCTGCATTGACATTCGCGGTCTCGTCCATTTGTCTCGAAGGGCTGGCTGCGTCGAGACATTGCACCGGCGAATTTTGGCGTTTTCCATTTCACATGACCTAGGGACAGTTCGCATTCATGGCTATTACCCTGAAATAGAAGACGACAAAGTAACATACTATTGCTGGACGATTGGGGAATTTCATATCTGGACGGATGCCAATAAATGGGCTTGTTATCGCTTTGTTTATAATTTGGATGACATGTTTCTCCCAAGCCATATCGCTCGTGTGATGGATATGTTGGAAAGGATCCCTGAACCACAAGATATCCCACTGCATGTCGATCTTGACGATATCAATGAGTCGCAATCTATTATTGGCTCAGAAGGAGCGTCAGAGATACGGGCGATGATACAGAGTTTACAGCAGCAAATGGAGCAACAAAAGCAGGAGCACAAGGAAGTACACGCGCAGTTACAGCAAGAACGGCGGGAGTGGAGCGAACGAGAAGAGCGACTACGAGCGCAGTTTGAGCAGGAGAAAAAAGAGGCACAAGAAAGACTAACCGCGCAGCTTGAGGGCTTAGCTCAAACGCTGAACCCAAAGTAATTATCTATTATCTTTCACACATTCCATAGAGCATCAAGAGCAGCCTTTTGGATTCCTCATATGTTTCTAATCTCGTTCGGGGTCAGGTATCATATCTTATAGAATTTGAGGACCCTTGTCCTGCTGTATCTAGTGCGATTTGTCGCGTACCAGGTAAGTATATCCTATTATTCTTAGCCAACTCTAGACAGGGCATTGCTTGTTTCTGCTGTGATTTCGATACATGTTCCTTCTTTCTGCCAATATTTCCTAGTCCGTCTGGGACTGCAAACGAATTCCACATGTCATCGAAGCTCACAACTGCTTTCCGAATTTCAGACTCGGTGTTGAGTCCTGTACGCTACTGCGCTTGTTGAATCCTGTGGAATACATTAATTGGGCCCTTGGTCACTGTGGAAAGGAGTAGATAAGGCAGTTAATTACGACGACCAACCTTCAGCTTATATCCTGCAAAAGAGCGGCATCACCTAACCGCAAGAAGAACGATTTCCTGGGTGGGTTGTCCAAATGTGGCCGGGGTTGGGACATGGCTCGTGTATCTATTTCATAACTGGGTAAACCAGACTCCCAAAAGCTTAATGAGTGGAGTTAGCGTAGAGTCCATATATGAACGGAGAAATATTTGCCTCGAACCAGGCAATCTGATATCACTAGTAAGGTTGAAAAGTCCGCACCGCAAACCTACTGTTACTCTGCACGGAACCTATAGGCGATCACAATAACGACTACACTCAGACAGGACAGCAAACAAACCATCAAACAGGCTTAATCATTTTCTTCAGCCTAAATCGCCGGTTATACAACAAAAAACGCAATCGGGGATCCCCCGCTCTGGGGAAGATGTACCTGAAACGCGATCGACCAATGAGCCGAGCGCAAGTATATCTGGCACAATTCGTCACGGAGAATTAGCGAACGGCATTTTCCTCCGCAATGCCGTCTGCTGAATTAGCAGTGCGACAGGGGATTCTGCGACAGTGGTGATCTACACCCCTGTAAATGCGGGATGGACTTGGGCGTCAAGATTGGAGGGGAGAATTCCGTTCGTCCGGGGGCAAATGACCTGCCAGTGAATGATGGTGGCTTTACAATGCAAATGGCCGTGTGATGCTTTGCCGCGATATTGAGGGTGTCAGGAGGGCTATCCTAGAGGTATTTAAGGGCTACGTCTCGCTCTTATGACTTGATGGAGGAATATACCAGCAAGAGCTGCAATAGCATTCTCTGATCACAAAGCTCGGCCTTCGCTCATTGGTCCAACGAACATGATCGTGCCATATCTCCTCACGTGTCTCCTTTATGCCCTGACCTGCAGTGCCAGGGCTATACACAATGGCAGATCCCTAGTTCCCAGAGCAGGGTCTCTGGAGAAAGTCACCGACTTCGGTGACAACCCGTCCAATGTTGGCATGTACATCTACGTACCTAACAACCTCGCCTCCAATCCCGGAATAATAGTGGCCATCCACTACTGTGCGTACCCTTCCCCCTATATCTCACACATCATACTAACAGCAGCCAAGGCACTGGAACCGCACAAGCATACTACCAAGGCTCCCCGTACGCCCAATTGGCGGAAACACACGGCTTCATCGTCATCTACCCGGAAAGCCCCTACGAAGGAACTTGCTGGGATGTCAGCTCGCAAGCAACGCTCACCCACAACGGGGGCGGAAACAGCAACTCCATCGCCAACATGGTCACCTGGACGACCAAGCAGTATAACGCAGATGCCAGTAAGGTGTTCGTAACGGGTACCAGCTCAGGTGCCATGATGACCGTACGTCTCCCTCCCCCAACTTCCTAAAACCACTCCTTGGCAAAAGGAACTGTAGACTAACGGACTACAGAATGTCATGGCTGCAACATACCCCGAGCTCTTCGCCGCAGGAATCGCCTACGCAGGCGTCCCAGCCGGCTGCTTCCTCTCCACAGCCGACCAGCCCGACGCCTGGAACTCCACCTGCGCTCAGGGCCAGTCTATCACCACTCCGGAGCACTGGGCTAGTATTGCCGAAGCAATGTACCCCGGATACAGTGGCTCGCGGCCCAAGATGCAGATCTACCACGGTGATGCCGATGCCACGCTGTACCCCCAGAACTACCAGGAGACGTGCAAGCAGTGGGCGGGCGTCTTCGGGTATAACTATGATGCTCCCGAATCAAAGGCCTCGAATACGCCGGAGGCGAACTGGGTGACGACTACTTGGGGACCGAATCTTCAGGGCATTTTGGCGGGGGGTGTTGGACATAATATTCAGATTCATGGGGATGAGGATATGAAGTGGTTCGGGTTTACATGAGGGTTTTTTCTTTTCTAGGCATGGGTTTTATGTTGGGTTGATTTTGCGTGGGACGTGATTTGTGAGTTGGGTTGGTGTTTTTCATTGTTTGATATTTATTTACAAAGAAACTATTCTGTTCTGACTAGGAGAGAGTAGTCTGTAGGGCAGCATTGATTGCACATATACGAAGAACGGAGTAGGTTCAATTGATTAGCTTATATCAGAGACGGACTCCACTGCTTCATTGATTATCAACACCAAGGGACGGACAACATATCCACAATCAACAGTTTCACACCCTAATGCAACGTGTCCAATGTTAGGAAATACATCCCACGCCCATATACTTGGCATGAAATGTACTCCGGACTTCCCCGCAGCATTCTTGTCGATCAAAAATGGAGCTCGGAGGACTTCCCAGTGCGGTAATCCGCTATCTCAGCAATAGTCTCGTGCCCCGATACATACCGGCTAATTGAATATTTTTTCTTCTAGGCGCTTATCGGTCCGAGGCTGACCTTCTCAATCGGTAGTTAATCTTTATTTCGTAGCCGTGAGTGCGGTGTTCAACCTATACTTTGCCATGCGATACCCTCTACTAACTCCATTGAGCAATATTTCTAGTAGAACAGTAAATGGAATTGTAGACTATGCATCTAAGCAATAGCATCGTATTCATCTTCTACTCATAGGTGGGGTATCGCTCATCATAGTGTAAAACATCAAGTTCAAATCTTCTCAACCTTCTCTACGCGCTCGACCTTCTCCTCCGTAGGCTTCTGTTCCGACACATCAGCCTTCTCCACATCGAGGACCTTCTGCGATGCAGACTCCTCCACGCCCGCAACAGCAGTCTCGAATCTGCGTCCACGCTTCTCGGGTCCGAACGCAGTGGTGACCACGATTCCAGTCGCGATAATGGCCGTAGCGACGCCCATGGTTGGGCCGTAGGCGGGCGCGGGTGTACCCTTCGAACCAATGATGAAGGTCTTTTCGGCGATGGCGTTGACGATCTGGGCGGAGGGGGACGAGATCATGTTGCCGACTTGGTAGGTGATTCCTGTGTCCTGTTAGAGAATGCATGCAACGGATTGGAGGCGGCGGAGTATGTACATACCAGGGAAAGAGGACCGGAAGGCCGGTGGGGAGAGCTCGTTCAGGTGGATTGGGATGACGCCCCAGGCGCCCTGGACGAAGAATTGCATGAAGAATCCAGTTGCGCTCAACGCGCGTTCACCCTCTGGGAGAATCCAGGCCGGGATGAGAACGCCCGATATCAAGGCTGAGACGATGATGGCGCGTCGGCGGCCGAAGAACTGGGACAGGTATCCGATGATGGTGCCACCGACGCAGGCGCCGGTCTTCATGAGAATGGATGCGCGGGAGGCACCGGTATTTTCCATTCCCTTTTGTGTCAACATGAACGTGGTGTAGGAGTCTTGCGAGGTGTGAGAGTAGTAGTTGAACTAGGGAGGTTAGTTGGGTTTGACTCTGTTGTTGGTTGGGGGAGTACTTACCCAGGTCATGAGAATGATGGCGTACACGCACATCTTCCACTCTTGTGCCAGCATGTGTCGGGTTTCTTGCCAGAATGCCCCTGCGCTCATGGACTTCTTGCCGGCCTTCTTGGCTTCGAGGAACTGTTTCGATTCCGGGAAGAAGATACGGATGATTCCCACCCCGATCGAGATGCCAGCTGTAGTTGTAAGCATGGGTAAGCATTCGTTGAATGGATAGGTACTGACCAGCAGCCCAGAATACTGTCTTCCAACTTTCGGTGGCTCCACCAACGCCGAGGTTAGCACAGGCGGCGAGGACATATCCTAGGGAATACCCCTGTTGCAGAATGCCTGACATAAGCCCACGAGCATTGACACTGGGGGATGTTAGTCAAGTGAGACCGATTGCGATTTGGTCGCGAGGCTTACGGGCAATGCTCCAGCGCCATGGCGATGGCGTTACCATAGACACCGCCCATGAAGAGACCAAATAGACTCCGTACGGCCAGGAATTGCTGGAACGTGCTACTGTAAATGGTCGCAATCTGCAGCACTCCCAGTACAATCATGTTCAACACCATGGGCCATTTCCGACCGAACTTGTCACCAGCTAGACCAAAGAAGGCAGCACCAACGCTTCGCAGAAGAAGCGTCAGGGTAATTGCCGTGGAAATCTCGGTTTTCGTGCGGTGGTAATACTTGGCCAGTTTGACTTGTTGGATGGACAGTGCATGGAAGTCGAACGCATCTGCCGTCCAGGCTGTCAGGCCAACCAGGAAGAACACCCAGTCCCGGGCGCTGAGCTGAGCAAACAGGCTGATCGGGTTCTTGATGGGATCGGGCTCTTGCCATTCAGTGCGAGTCTCCCCGTACTCGTTGGTCACCACGACTCGTTGTTTCCACTTGAACAGATCGCCCCATGCTTGCTTTGCTGTAGCTAGAATGCCATTGGGGATGGGTTCCGCTGGCTCGTTCGTGGTGCTCATGTTGCCAGGTACTCCTCAATGAAAGAGAACTAAAAAGAAAAAGAAAAAAAGGGAAAAGTCAGATGGGCTGTTTTGAAAGCGGACGAAAATAATGCTCTATTTAAGTCGCGCAACGACATCACGATTACACTCCCAGGGACACCTCTTTATACATGATGGCAACGATTCCAGTCCCGTCCATGGCACCGTCGCGATTGGGAAGTAATGTGCCCAGCCCACCTGATGCATTGAGAACAATCCCCACGAATCCCCAGGTTGCCGGCCAACATTCCCCGCGAAAAGCTTCCAATCTCATTGAGCCAAGATGGCGCCAAGCAGCTAAGGCTGAAGGAGTTATCCAAGCGTGCCCAGCTGTGGCAGCCACAGTAGCCAAAGTTGCCGTTCAGGGTGGTATCTCCTGTGCAATCGGCCCGCCCTTGATGCCTAGAGGCGCTAGCTGTCCCAATCCCATCCTGGACGCGGGGGGTCGGAGTGAATTGGTGTGACGACAATCGGAACCAATAGACCCATCGGAGGCACACAAAGGAGGCCAGCGAATTACTCGCGCGCGAGGGTCAGAAGGTCAGAGAGAGGATCCGTGGGCCTCCCGTCCAGGAAAGAATGGCACCTCGTGCGCGATAAATTGTATCAGCCAAGAGGCTTAGTTTCGAGTCAATTTTAAACTTATTTCCCCATGCACTTGTGGGGGTTTTGTGTCCTTTCTCCGGGGAGATATCCTACATGACCTCATTTGGGATGTTTGCAAATGGGCAGTTGTCAGCCACGTTCGTGACTCTGGCCGCTGAATCGGTTGAGTAATTGTTTGGGTGGACTGATCAGCGTGTGTCCACCTCCTTACATCGCAACCGAGCATTCCTCGAGACACATCGTGTCGAAGTGCAGGCATTCGCATCCTGTGTCAAACTTCTACCTCGTCGTCCCCATCGCGGAATCCTTCCGACCACGGCATCTCAGAATCCAACTAGTAAATGGCTCTCAACCCCCCGAAAACAACTTCGGGGGAATGGGTCGGCTTCATCTGGCGTGTCTGGGCGAGCCTCAAGACTGTTTCCCCCGCCGAAGATCCGGAAAGAAGCCCCTCGTGGCGCCGCTTGGCACACAGGCTTCGGAACCGAAGCAAGTCTTGGAAAACGTTGTTCAAGAACCAGCGGAAGGCTTGACCGTGCGAGCCAACCTTAACTCCTCGGGTGGATTCGGGAGCCTGGGACAAAGAAACTATCGTCAGATACCACGATGGAATCACTCGTTTGGGCAGGAGTGGTGGTGGAGGTGAATCTTGGTTCTGACGGAGAGATGGTCCATCCAGTATCTTCTAGTGGTAAATCAGGCGGTTTGACGCCTTCGTATATTCCCTGTCAGACTAGCCAGACTCTGATAAAGCGACTGCGACTCTTTCTCTGGTCCTTATTGGTGCTGCTTATCTTTCCCTGTGGGCCAACAGCGGCCATCCCGTTCGAGATGCTGCTTCATGCTCATCATTTCTATTTTGGGCTACTCCTTGGACTTAGTATGAGATTGAAGTCTTCCACGGGCAGTGCTAAAGACTGGTTTTAGAATTAGGAAATTGCCTCCATACCAAGAACGCTGGTCTAGTAAGATTAAGGTAGGTTTAAGCAAGTGCGTGTCGTTGGTGAAGTTAGGGTTTCTTGTTGGGGCTGACCATGTATATATTCCGCAGAAATCGCTTATATCGCCCGATTCCACTTATCCCCACGCCCAAGTCTCGCTCATCAAATCGCTTAAATCGTCTGATCCTCTGCCTTATCGAGTCGCTTAAATCACGCTATTCTCCTTATCGCCACGCCTCATCCTCTACTCGAAGAAACAAGATAAAATTGTCTATATAGTTATATTTTTATTATTCTAGATAAATATATTAATGCACTAATACATCTACTATATAATCTAATCGTAAGAGATAGGGCCAGGGCACCCTATTCCACAAGGCCAAAATGTCAGAATAATCCTGGTCAACGATCCCGAAGCCCAGGACCTGACTTATATACAGCCCGCGTTACACCCTGTCTCTCTCTCTCTATATATATTCCGCACGACTTGGAGGCATACATTTCGCACCACATCAGTATGACATTTGTGCTACTATCCGATTACAATTCACAACAATCGTAAGACACACCAACCTCTGACCGAATAATAAATATTCATTTTAGGCCGTCCGTGATCCAGGCCGCCTTCGCACATACACATCAGTAGAGGTGTTCGGCACGATTTTATCCCCCAGTAACATATTCTTCGGCCTCCCAACCTGATCAGAGCCAAATCCAAACTCATAATCCACGAGAAACCGACTGAGGATGGCCTTCAAAACAAACGTGGCGAAGAAGCGACCGGGACATGCATACCGACCTAGTCCGAAGTGCATGCTGGTGGCACCCGTGTGGACAAACTGGGACTGAGCCTTGTCTCCGTCGACGTAGCGGAAGGCGTCGAACGTGTCGGGGTTGGAGACATATGTAGTATCCATGCCGATGGGTCCAGATGCCATGCAGATATGGGTGCCCTTTGGAAGTCGGAGGCCATCGGAGAGGACCAGGTCTTTCTTGACTACCCGATGGAAGGATACTAAGCAATGCAAAGTTAGTGTGTGAATACGGGATGTGGTGGGAATGGTGATAATATACGCTCGCCTGGAGGATTGAAGCGCTGTGACTCCTTGAGAAAGCTATCTAGGTGCCTGAGCGCAACCAGATTAGCGTAGGTGGTAGACTTCCAGTCGGGCAGGACCTCTTGAATCTCCTGCCGGAGGGGCTCCAGCCACTGAGGCATCGTAATGAGATCATACAAGCCATGGGTGATCGACATGGCACTTGTATGGACGACTGCCATACTGGTAAGACCCAGCAGACGGTGCGCAATATTCCTTGGATCGCCCTCGTGATCATTCTGGGCCAGGTCCATCATCCATTGGAGGAAGTCGTCCGGTTTCTGGTAGTCAGGGTCGCCTGACGCTTCCTTCTGCCGGCGTCTCGCTATCTCTGGACCGAGAAGCTCATCTTGCACGTATCGTAGCTGTGTATCTAGGCTGCGACTGCTAGGTAATATGGACCCGACGATCGGATGGAGGAAGCTTGGTATTGGGCGCAGCAGTGCGATTGTCATGAAGATATTCTTGGTAAAGTCGATCGAAGCAGCCAGCCATTTCTCACTACGACAGATTTCTGGTCCTACAAACACACGGGCACCAGATCGAGCGACTAGGCGGAGGAAAAGCTCATACGGCTTGATTGGGACCCATTCATCTATAACTTCTTAGCATTTGAGCAGGCGGTATAATTGAAATTGAACCCACGTTCGCAATCTGGCATCTCAACTTGAAAGCCATGATCTAATTCGTCTATAATCCGGGGCACCAATCGACCTGATCGAAAGTTGCATTAGCTATGCCGTATATGAATGCCTGGTGTGGTAGGATTAACACACTGATCGCAGGAGTTAGGCGCTTCTGTATAACCTCAGTATGCAGGTGACTGTCGTTCAATATTGTCGTGTATTTGCCCACATGATCCTAGAGCAGCTTGATCGTAAGTTACAGTCATTCCAACGTGGCGAAGTATTCTATCCCTCACCTCGAACACCGCTTCCAGAGCGTTAAGCGTTGTGAGAGGGAGCTGGCGCAGCTCCTCCACGTACTTATTCGATAGCACGATAATATCCCCATCGGGCTTGAGAAGGCGGAATGCTCGATCCTTATACTGTGGTCCACTTTGAGTAAGAAGCGAAAATCCTTCCAGAAATAGTCTACTCACCTGTCGATATCCCTTGTAGATCACTGTAGGGGCTGTTGAGTTGAACCACACTCGACTCAGGAATTCAGGTAGATAAGGATTGAAGAGCGTAACAGTGGGGACAGACACATTGCTGCGTTTCACGGGGTTGGGGATTATGAACCACGTAAACAGGATGACCAGCGAGATAGCAAACAAAATAGAACCGTTCTCTGCTGCAAACGAATGGCTATACTTGGCCACCGTGGCAGTGAGAATGTCTATATCCATGTGTATCTTCGAGGAATTCAAAGCACGCACTTTTGTCAAGATGAAGTGGACGTCCCTGGTCTCACTCTGGATTGTGAAACATATCCTACTTATTGCTGAGTTGGTCTCCATGAATACCCCTCGTCCGTGCTGGGCCATGGTAACACAGTTCCAAGACCACAAGGTCCTGCAGCTTACGTGCACTGATGTGTCTGTAGCAAGGGTAGCGTCGTCGGATATGTCGACGCTGACTTCCGAGTGTAGGCATATTTTCCATAGTTGTAATAGTATTAACGAGTGAAGATAGACAATGCCTACTGAAAGCAAGGTTTACTAGAGTTAGATTTCTAAACGTTGTGCGTCCATGCTCCAAACAGGTTTGCAATATCTCAATCACCTGCACATTTCATAATATGATCCTGTTAGTTCATCGGAATATTTCGAAACGTATCGCACCGGGATGCGACGTCAGATTAGCCGACTCCCAACACCTCGGTCCTGCAGATATGAGATATCTTCCGATTCCCACGCAAGTCTAACAGCCGTAGCCGAGGGCCCATCAATCAGCATCCATCCAAGCAACCGTCGGATCAGTTGGGATTTGCTGATCTCCAATCCAGCTCGGTGGCAGTCTTGGATGTAACGATCGGTGCTCCACACCATCGTGGCCACTGCAGCAATACCGTAGTCCCATTGGAGGAACGTAAACAATCCAGCTTCAAGAGCTCCGAGTCCCTCTGCAGGCTGATTGAAGAGCGGAAACGTGACACCGTATGGACGCAGGTAGTAGAGATCATGTGATTGGGCAAAAGATTGGATTTTGGACGCCACGAATGCCGAGAGCCACGCCATATGACAGATATAGGAGCAGAGGAAACCGAAGCGATACACGGAACGTAGCTGACGACGTGCTGATGCTCCCCGCGGGTGTGTAGAACCCATGGTATAATGGTGGACGATCAATAGGACGACAAAATATACTGGCCACCCTTGCCATGCCGCGATGAGTTGTTGTTTGACATCAGGGGCAATCATTGAAGGCGCTGTGAGGGACATTGTCGCCAAGGGCAGGATATAGCTCATGATCATCGAAGCAACTAGACCGTCGGTGGGTGTGGGACCTGCTCCTGTAGGATGTGGGCTCTCACAGACCGGTCTAGCCTTAGAAGCCACAGCAAAGAAGCATGGTATCACGACTCCAGGACCAACTGCCTGTTGTGCAATCCCAACGATGAGAGTTCTTCCAATAGTTAGGTTCTCAGCCTCATGGTCCATTGGCCAGAGCGTTGGTGTGAGACTTACATTGCCATGCCACGTATGAATGAGAATGTCCGGCAGATATGGACCACAACGATCATCCAGATGCCAACCATACCCCCCGCAAAGCCCAGTCCCAGTAAGGACAAACCAGCATGGTGGCCCTGGGAAATCGGCCAAAAGAAGATGATTGTATTTTCCAATATACTGTCGAGGGCTTTTAGCCCAGTATACTCCGATAGAAGAGCAACAGGCGGTTCCCCAGGAGCCATTCTAGTCGCCAGCTGTTGCGAGAGAAGATCGAAGAATCCATTGTTGAATAATGAAATGTACATCATATAGAACGAGGTCACCGCCATTAGCCAGAACAAGTAACGTAATGCCGAGATCATGATATAAAATGGCTTCGGTAGAGTGTAGACGTAGTTCGACCGTGTAGCAATGGTGACTTGATGATTGTTCAGAGCTTCCGAAAGACCATCAGCAGTACGCTGTCCATGAGCTTCAGGGTTGGGTTCCCTTCTGGGCTTCCTAGCCGCGCGTTGCAGCGAGGAATATATATTTCTGGAGCACAAAGGATGACTGGGTATTCATGAGCGTGTCAGCGAATTTTCACCGGCTTACAAGTATTAAACCGGTTCATGTGCTCTTGAATCCGACAATCGCAGTGTCTCCCATTCTCTATTGCAGCTCTACACGGCGACGAGTCCGAAGTAAACACCAGCCACCATACCTTGTACCGGATCTACACGATGGAAGGATTTGGCTCGCCACAAGCCCCAGATGCGTATCGTGAAGTTGCATGGATTGCGGATATTTTCGTCGTCGGAATGGGGATTGGTTGGGTTATTAACTATATCGGTATGGTCTACGGATCGCTCAAAGATCGTACATATGGAATGGCTATCATGCCCCTCTGTTGCAATATCGCGTGGGAAATAGTATATGGCGTTGTCTACCCATCTACGACTGTGGCTGAGCAAGGCGTCTTTGTATGTGGTCTTGCCATCAACCTGGGCGTCATATATACAGCAATCAAATTTGGACCTAAGGAATGGACCCATGCGCCTTTGGTGATGCACAACCTGCCACTTATTTTTATGCTGGGTATAATCGGCTTTCTCACTGGCCACCTTGCCCTAGCAGCGGAGATAGGCCCTGCACTGGCCTATAACTGGGGAGCTGCATTCTGTCAGCTGCTTCTCAGTATCGGAGGACTCTGCCAGTTGATCACTCGCGGAAGCACCCGAGGGGCCTCGTACACGCTCTGGTGAGTATTACCCTGGTTGCTTCGGTCGCAATCCACTCTGTCGCCTGCTGATCGTTGCTACCAGGCTGTCCCGGTTCTTGGGCTCTTTCTCCGTGGTGATCTCTGCCTGGATGCGTTATAAATACTGGCCACAGGCATTTTCATGGCTGGGAAGACCTTTGTTAATGTGGTGCTTTTTCGTCTGGCTTGTTGTTGATAGTTCCTATGGGGTTTGTTTGTATTATGTCCAACGGTATGAGCGAAGGGTTGGCTTAGGTGCCGATCGGAAGACAGTCTAGACCGTAGCGGATGGACGACTCCCTCTGGGCTGCCACTTGTTCAGCTGTTGTGTAACTTGCTTGCTGTCTGGTTCGTATTGAGTATCACTATTTTCCTAATGTGAGACCTTCTTCTTGGCTGTTTAAAAACCAATTCGTATTCTCACCCGGTAGCATAGGGTCGGTCATAACGGAAATATAGCCCTAGACAGCATTGGATTACGGCATGGACGTTTCCACACAGAGAGGCTTGGAATGACTGGACGATAAGTCGCAGCAAAGCCATGGAAGGAGTTCATGGACAAAGAAACAAAGAGAAGAGATGAAAGAAAGGTTATGGCCTCTCGCTACTGACTCGCATAACCCCCGCAATGACAGGGATAGACCCTGCTTCGTTACGATATTAAACCCTTTCTCACTGGACGTAGAGAAGCCACCTTACCACGCTGCTGGAGGTCAATCCATCTTAGCCCCGCGTTGATATTTTGCACAGGTGAATATGACCCAGCGCTATCAGCTGCCATACCTGTCGCTGGATAATCCTCGTTACTGAGACTGGTTTCCAATCCGGCGCTGATACAGCTGTCAGAATTGATTCCTGCGCAATTTCAAAGGTTGACGCCTCCATCCACCTACATGTCTTGAGCCCGTGGCTCCTTCAAGCAACCACAGTGACCACATGGTGGTCGGGCTTATTGAGTCGCATTTGAGGAGATCTACTTGAAATCATCGGATTGCTGAAGAAGCCGACCATGCTATCGTCAATGTCTCAACTTCTTCAGAGAACGTTGGCCTATTCTACGGACCTAGTAGAGCGTCAGGTAACCTATCCGTTCGCCGCTCCTGTTTGGGCGTATTTGTTGGGCGGTCTCCTTATCCAGCAAATCGTGACCAGATGGTACAGATATTATAAATCATGGGTACGTGGCCTAGCCTGATACTCGACAATGACAGCCCAGCTGAGGTAGAAAGGTCGACGTCCCGGTAGTTGGAGGGTATGGAGTTGTTGGGTCTTGGATTGCGGCATTCCGGTGGACAGCGCGAGCGCGATCCTTAGTGGATGAGGGCTATCGGAAGGTGTGTATTTATCGACTCTGACCTGGAATGTAATTTGTGACGCATCCCATACAGCATGGCGACTTTGCCTTCCAGGTATCAACGCCAAATCGATGGGAAGTCTTTATCTGCAATGACGAAATGGTGCGCGAGTATCGTAACTTTACCGACGAACGCTTCTCGGCGAATGCAGTTACAGCTGAGGCAAGCCCTTGATTGACAGAACCAAGTCCAGGAAAGCTCGATACTGACGTTATCATACGCAGTTATTCGAAGCGAAGTATACCGTTCCAGGCGCGGCAGAGGGTGTGCATAAAGTACCTGTTCCTACCGTGGCAAAGGCCCTGACCTGGCAGCGCACTCGCGCCGCAACCAAGAGCGACCCATACTTTGAGGAGTTTGTGAAAGAACTGGAACACGCCTTTGATTCCGAGACCATGTTTGGTGACGATGATTGGAACGATCTTTGCTGTTTTGCTACTGGAACCAGGATCGTAGCCCATCTAACCGCCAAATCCCTGATAGGGTACCCTTTGTCTCGAGATAAGGAGCTCATTGATCTATTCGCTGAGTATGGCAATGCGGTGCCAACAAGTGGGTTCTTTATTGCGATGTTTCCAGAGATTTTGAAACCGTAAGAAAAGTGCACCTGTCGGCTTCTCCGTTATAAGCTAACGCGTTCATAGCTTCGCTGCGAAAATTTGTAACGCCCCGAAAATATCAGCACGCCTTGATAGCATTGTGATGGACGAATTGAAAAAGAGGAAAGATAATCCCCGGAGCGAGCCACAGGTACTGGCTGTCTACTGCGTCGAGATGCAGACGCTGACACTGCCCCTTAGGATATCACGGATTGGCTTTCGTTGTGGAGTCGTACCTACCCCGGGACGTACACCGACCGAGACATTGCTCGGTCCGTAACATCAGCCGTGTTTGGGGCTATCCATACTACTACACAGGTGAGATCCATGGAGGTAACCAACCTGTTCGAGGCCGACCGGCTTACCTTAGTGATTAGGTGTTGGTCCATTGCCTGTTGGACCTGGCCATACGGCCGGAATACGTGCAGCCACTCAGGGACGAAGTGGAGACCGTCTGGAATAGGGACAACTATCAGTGGACTAAAGAAGGACTTGAATCGATGGAGAAGCTGGATAGCTTTGTGAAGGAATGTCAGCGTTTTAATCCGCTTGATGCTGGTTAGTGATTCATCGCAGGGCGTACATAGCTACTAGAGTCTGAAGTTTCCTCTAGGTTCTCTTGCACGACGCGCCACGAAGGACTTCACTTTCAGCAATGGTCTTCACATTCCTGAAGGAACGTACGTGTTCACACCAAATGCGCCGGTTCTCTTCGACGAGAAGCATTACCCGGATGCTCAGCAGTTTGACGGCTATCGATTCTATCGGTTGGGTAGGGTTACAGGACGACCACTCGACTACAAATTCATTGCTGCCAATACCAAGTATCTCCAATTCGGAGACGGCAGACATATATGGTTAGTCAAAAGTGTGCATCTCAGTTCACAGGAACGGTGCTGATTTAAATGTTGTTCTTCAGCCCCGGTCGATTCATGGCAGCAGACGAGATCCGTCTCTTGTTGGCGCATATTCTTATGAACTACGACATCAGACCGAAAGATCAGGGCCAACGACCACCTAATTGGACCTTCAAGAAGATTTTGTTCCCGGACATGAAAGGAATGGTGCAGTTGAGGCGGCGATCAGTTACGGCATACAACCCTAACTAGTTACTCTTGGGTGTTTAGAGCCCGAGTAGAATATTATATAGTGCATTGCCGTACCTGAAAGAGCTTACTGAATTCACCAATAATGATGTTATACCCATCATCCGCCTCCTTCCTCGAGTATTACGTTTTCGCTACATCGACCTCAAATACAACACACACTAAGGAAGTCGTATAGCGCTCTCAACTCAGAGAGAAGCAATATGTGCTGATACAGCATAGCCGTCAATAATTAACTACTATATAATCCCCGTTGTGCCTCTTCGATATACATCATGTTTCTATAAATACACCCGATTCGTATAATTTGTTGCATAAAGCAAACACATATGCTACACGGAGACCCTTTGCATCCAAAGCTTTACTCTGGAAATAACGCAACTGCTCTTAGAATAGTTGGCTGGCATCATTGACCGAAGATTGGTATGTCTGGCGTCATTAGTGAAACCGTGGCGGCTGAGTGCAAGGGCAGAATCTCGTATGTATGCATTCTCATGACATGTAGGAGATGCTGGATTATCGTGGAAGGCATCACACGACTTGTGGTCCCCGTGGACCGGCTTACTGACAACTTTCTTTTTTTAACCTGAACTTCGTATTGCGTTGTTGACTGCATAACCAGGGTGCTATCCACTGACCTCTTGGACATTTCCGGAGGATTCCGAAAACTGCTCATGGCCTTGGGCTATATAGAACTTTCCTTTGAAGCTGTCGAGATCCTCATCAGCATTATCTCCATTCAATCTCACAAACCCGCACTTCAATACTACCTAGTGCAGCTTCAGCACACAAGATCAGCCAGCAATATGTCCAATCCGAAGCCAGAAGCGTACCCAGCCCACCAAGCCCTTGCTCGAGGAATGGGATTCAAGAACAAACATGAGAAGCTTTGGTGGGCTATCTTCGGACCTCTCCTCGAGAAGCTCCTGACGCTCTGCGATTACCCAGTGTCTCTGCAATACCAGCACCTATCATTCATCTACCGCCATATCATTCCTTATCTCGGCCCATATCCGACCGTCGAAAACGGCTGGGTATGGAAGACCTGCTACTCACCGGACGGAACCCCAGTCGAAGTCAGCCTCAATTTTGACGGCTCGAGGAAAACTGCACGTATGGACCACGTCGTGATTAGCCAGTGGAGCGGCACACCGAAGGACCCCTTTGGTCAAAACGTGGCCCTCGAATTGATTAAATCCCTGGCCGCCATACTCCCCGACTTTAATTGGCACTGGTTCGACTATTTTGTCCAAGAAATGTTCATCCCCGAATCGTCAACTGAGACGGTGCTTGCACGACAGCCCCCGGAATTCGTCCATATGGTCATGCAGGGCATCAATGGGTACGATCTGCTGGACAGTGGCGTTCGGGTGAAGCCCATCTTTAGCGGGCTTTCCAAAAGTGTTGAAACGGGCATATCCCTAGACAAGCTACTCTTCGACGCATTTCACAATAGTGCTGAACCTTTCGGTGCATACCAGCCGGCCCTGAAAGTCATAGAGGACTACTGCCAGTCGGATCAAACCAAGCAGTTTGGAACCAAGGCTTGTTTCCTTAGCTTCGATGCTACTAAGACCAAAGACGCGCGACTCAAGGTCTATCTGCATGGACCGCAGACAGCATACATGAAGGTCCAGGACGCGTTTACCTTGGGTGGCCGCCTCGATAGCCCCAACATTCAGACTGGTGTGAAGGAGCTACGCAAGCTTTGGTATGGAGTGCTTAATCTGCCTCCAGACTTTCCCGAATCGCAAGATTTACCTGCGACCGATGACCTTTACCAGGGCTGGCAGATGAATTATGAGTTGAGGCCCAACAACCCTGTCCCTGAGCCGAAAGTATATATTCCAGTGGGAATCGACAACAAGGATCAGGAGAGTATCATCCAAGGACTCCAGGAGTTCTTTTCCCGCCATGAATCCATGGACGTGCGGGACTATCGACACATCTTTGAGACGCTATTGTACGTTTGCCGGACCCAAACCAAGATTCATGTATTTTATTGTTTACTAACATGATTCTCTATGTTTAGCCTGGATGGTGACAAGCTCACTGGAATTCATCACTTCATCACTTTCAGTTACAAGTCCCACCCATATGTCACTTGTTACTACAAACCACACGTAGTCCCAGTTCCAGCCAAGGAACTTGAAGAGTCAGATGTGAAGGTGTTTTCCAAGTAGGATATTTCACAGGCTTAGGAAGTCCATGATTCCATGGTAATAAGATCCAACCAATTCACACGTTCCTCCAGCGTACTGGTTCACCCACATTTACCCGTCGAGAGCTAGTGTGTCGCATCGGTGCTTGGGAATTGACTTTGTAGCTCGAGTATGGGTCTAGACTTGCTGTATCCATGCTGTAAATTCGTGTAGTAGAATACCAGAGTACAGCTGAATTGATCAAACATGGGGTTGGCATGTCCAACACTACCAATGCCCTTGAACTTGTAGCCTAATAGAATGCCCAGCATATCAAGTTTCTACTATGAAATAATGCAACATGAGTATATCAAGGGGAATAACTAAGGATCGAGTTGGGAATCGACTGTTCTTTCTTGAAAACCTTGATATCACAATCCTCTTTTTTCTAATTCATTATGATACTACGTGACATTGCGGCTTGAAAGATAGTCCCATGCCAAGTGAACCCTGCCTATTCCCTACTCATGTCCGCCCTTCCTCGTGGCGTTGATTTTCACTTACTCTATGCACGTCAGCCTCTGGCCCCTTCCATCCTAATATCCCTTCATTTGTACTCCTAGCTTTGCTGGTGAAATTTGACGTTTATATAGCCTGCGAACTTTGCCCCGTACTATATCCTCTTCCGCTATACCGTGCCTATATCTTACGTCTTTTCCTTCAGATATCTGCGAACCATATATCTATTTGTCTCGCATCTCCGCTTGTTAGTAGGACATGTTGAGTCTAAGACACGAACCATGTATCGGCTGCTATTTCTTGCCAAGTGGTAGCTATTGTGAATAACATCAATTCCATAATGGCAGCAATGCACATCTCATCCGAAGGCGTCCCGACACCTTTTGCTGCCCCCGTTCTCTCTGGGCCACTAGTTGGCCTCCAACTTGCCCCCCGTTGTCCGAATCTAGTCTCGTATGAAGAGACTACAAGCCGACGCTGAATCTACTCTAGAAAGCCTGAAAGCTAATAACAGAGATCGCGAGCTATGGCTCGACGCACTCGGCTTGGCCAAGTAAGCCATCTAAAAGCTGGCAGATCACGAGAATGGTTCACTGGATATCGCCTATCGCTTTCAATGGGAAGGGACGATTGGCATAATGAAGAGTATGCCGGGACATGACCACGAACCTTTTAAATAAACCAACCTTTCTCTACCCACAAATGACCAGCTACCTGGGAGGGCATGTCAGCAATTAGTAGTTACCGGGGCTATAACACTGCCTACGAACCGACTTGTGGAAAAAAAGGAACGCAGGGCGATCAAGGTTTACGCACTTGACCGACTTTAGTGATTGAGGCCATAGTCAGTGGGCATCACGCGAACAAGAAGAGGGTGCTCATTGGTGGTTCGCAAATTCCAGCAGAAGGGTGCGCATTGTGATATTTATCGCTTGTTTTACTCCCACTGCGGAATCGTGCTTGTACTCCTTCAATGTGCCATGAAATGTAAGGCTTCCGCTGCCGAGAGGATCAAGTGGTCTAAATATACTTCTTGCTTTGTTTACAAGACGCTACTCTCCGGGATATACTGTGACTGGTAATGGCTTTGTGTTCTAGGTCATTGAAGGATAGCAGTCATTGTGCACAGCGTAACGTCGTTCCATTTCTGTATGATGACATCCCTATTGGCAGAGGCGAACAAGATGTTTGCTTTGAATATATTGCGTCATTCTCTTCTGAGCTGCAGCTTTTTGAAATGGCTCCGTGCATGTCTACAGGATTAGGGTTGTTATGGCAAACAACATCGATCATAAGTTATTTATTCGTCCGCGAAAAAAAGAATCTAAATAGAGTACCAATCATTTTCGGGTAGTGAAGATTTCAGCTGCCATTGATAGCTAGGCGTAAAATCGTATATATTACCGCGGCTATCACAGATATCAGTGATCATTCACGCCCTGTGCCATAAATATCGGAAAATGGAATGCCGCGTAGCATAGAGCTCAAGGGTCTGCCTACCCACGGGTCTACCTCAAATTGAGGGGTTCCTTTAAAAATGATGCATTAGGGCTGACCCACTCGGCTGATAAAGAAGGCAGGCAACTCCGACAAAGGCAAGTAATCCGTCGGACTGGCCAGCCTCTGAAATGCGCCTTCCATGGACATGGCTCCCACCACTAAATGTACAAGGACAGAGTGATGTAGACATCACAGGTTGCCAAGACAGCCTGGTATTGAAATACTTCCAAGTATCCCAGACGGTGTACTTTCTCACGTCAACCACCTTCATTAAACATAGCCCCGCAATAATGTCTGCAACAATGACGACCACTATTGCCACACAGCCAACGGTGCTTCATGCCGAGCAGAACGGCACATCTAGTGCCGAGAACGACCGTCCGTTCCAGGCACTTGCTCGAGGTGACCAGCAAGGTGTGCTGAAACTGCGAGGTATTCCTACCTTCACCGATTTGCACGCAAAGCGGCAATGGATCCGTCAACACATGGCTGCGGTGTTTCGCTTTTTTGGAAAGCGAGGATGGGGAGAAGGGGTTTCCGGCCATATCTCTGTACGAGGTACGACACGGCTATGTTGTGGCCAAGGAGAATGAAGGTGGACTAAGAGAATACAGATCCGATTCTAGCGGACCACTTCTGGATGAACCCATTCGCAATGCATTTCAGCCTGATCAAAGCATCTGATCTGGTTCTGGTTGACAGTGGTGGATACGTGGTGGAAGGCGGTAGTCAGGCTATGATCAATGAGGCGGGCTTTATGATACATTCCGAAGTCCACCGTGCGCGGCCGCAGGTTATGGCTGTCGCACACACGCACAGTATTTACGGGAAGACGTGGAGTAGCTTTGGTAAACCCATCGAGATGCTTACGCAAGGTCTGTATCCTACCCCCACACATTTGTTCTGCTTTTCGCGGTCGCTGAATATCCATTGCTACAGATGCGTGCAACTTCTATGGCAGGCTCAGCGTGTATGAGGACCATGGTGGAATTGCCCTGGCCCAAGATGAAGGGAGGGCCATTGCGAACGCCCTGGGAAAGACTAGTATGGCTGCTATATTGCAGAACCACGGGTTAGAGTCCCATTCTCTGATTTATTATTGTGGAAGTGGAGCTAACGAGCAGAAAACAGTTTAATCACACTTGGGTCCACGGTTGATGAGGCTGGGTTTCTTTTCTATAGCTTAGAAAAAGCCTGTCACTCTCAGTTGCTCGCAGAGGCCGCTGCTGCTAATGGAATTCCCAAGAAGGTCATTCCCGATAATGTCGCTCAATTCACGGCCGACTCTGTTCAGACACCGGTATGAGCCCAGATAATCATCCGTGCCATGTTATGACTAACGGCTGCATAGAATAACTTCTATCTGGAGTTCCAGCCCGAATTTGATTTGGTGGTTGCAGAGTCCAGGGGAGAAGTGCTTGACTAAATGGATATTAGGATTTTATACATTGCTAGGACACCATTTATTTTGACAAGAACGATGTACGAACGAAATCATGTCATGTTTTCCGCAACATAAGGAATAGTGATTTCTACTATATTGGGTTTTGCTTATTTCTGTAATCTCTTAAGGGTCATCTATGCCTATAGCACGACGTAGTCGTATCTCGCGCGAAGCACTTGGTCCATTTAGGTTCTCTGAGTGTTAAATGCGTTTGGATACTTTAGCTCAGATCTATATGTATTTATACGAAGGATGGAGTTATGCACTGCTTCACTGTTCTAACATCGTCACCTGACCAGCCTCATGTATAGATCACGGTCTCACCTTCCCACTTTCCCACGATATCTCTTACCACCTTACCATTACCCCTGATCCATCTCCTTAAAGCCCTCCATTCACAATTATTTCTCCTTTCAATTTCTGCCAGTCGAACCTCGGCAATAGCATCTTTGATATCAAACCTCAAGTCTAACTACTCTTACCTCATTCGAAGTCCTGTGGACTATTTCATATAGTGATTCTAACTATTGCTGCACAGTAAGACCTGAGTACTCGGCCTTTGCCAGACCTGGAGGTACAAATTAAGATGGTCGTGGAACTCAGAGGCGCACCCCACTTTGCAACTCGAACAGTGGTTTTGTACTTTGAGAATGATGATACATGTGGTCAGGACGAACGCAGTAACACTAAAGAACTGCGTCCCAGACACCTTTGACATCTGAACAATATTTATCATCGAACGATCTGAGATATGATCTGCTGCAGTACTTTTGCAGCATATCTACAGTGCCTGCAGCACCGGTAGCTCACCATATGAGCAGTTACGGTCGCTTATGATCATCCCCTACATAGGACAGGGAGTCCTTGACCATGGGTCTTCATTCAAATTGGATTCCATGGCAATGTCTCAGCACTACCTTCTTTACTGGAGATGACGTTGTCGCAGACTGGGATACACTAACCAACTTAGATTGTTGTTGTGCAGGAGCAGCGCATAGCTGCACCAATCGGATTGCTGACGCCTCTCTGCTTGTGACACTACAGGAGCAGCCAGGTCGCGTGCGGCTAGTTACATTACCTTCACGCAACAGTTGGCCATGGCCACATGAACCCTGCGAGACTAGCAACCTTATGTCACGCTTGATGACTCCGTGCAGAGAATTCAGGACACAAAAACACCCGGGGTACCAGATGCCCAGTTAGTACACCTGGGCCAAAGCCCCCAGCCAATCTCTCTCCCGTTCAAGACAGAGTCGCTACCCCCCAACCACCCATTCAGAGCAATATGACACCCGGAGCCTTGTCTTTGATGAGTGTTCTGGTGAAGGTTTCCGTAGCTGAGCCTTCACAAGAGACAACGGAGACGGTTTCTGAAATTATCCGAGGATTACCCTCAGAATTTCACGTTACAATTAAAGGCACACATGAATCGACGTCGACGCTGCTACTTCTGTCAATGTCGTGGTCGACGTTCTGCAGTCTATCTACAACAATTGACCTCACTTTCGTGGGCACTATACAGGGACCATTGTTCATTCTCCACCTGTATGTTCATACTCGCTCTGCATTGGAGTACAGG